AAATTTTAGACTTAGTAGAAATTGCCAAGAATATAAAATCTTAATTGTACTATAGCATGACGCTTAATTAAAAATATATATAAACTAGTGCACTGCTAAAAAAAACTTTTAATTTGATAGTTGTTTCATGAAATATCACAAACTTAATAACAGTAAAAATTATGAGTTTGATTCAGTAGGAATTATGATATCCTTTACATAAATTTTGATTATTCATAGAGTCCAGCTCTAAGCTAATTGGAAATTAGATATTTCTCATTTGCAAAACAAGCTGAGTATTTATGCATGTTATTACTTTACAAATTCTAGGTATTTTAATTGATATAATAGTAAAAGCCGCTTAAAATTTATTTAAATAACTTTAAATTCATTAAGATATAAACTACAAAAATTAGGTTATTGATTTTTTCTAGTTCATGTATTTATAAATCCAATTTATCTAAAAAAATAAATTATAATTTGTAAGTAACATGTTTAAGTTATAAATGATAGCTTTCATTTCTTGAAATTATAATGTAGTGTATTCTTTAGAAGTGATGTACTGAATTCCAGTTAAGATAATAATTACTAATACTAATGTTATTAAATTTTATTTGTATACAGTATATGTTTATTTTTTTTTGATAATCAATTTGAGCTAGCTAAAAAAAGCTTTACAGAATATCACATAAAAGAAACTAATATAACAAATTTAATTAAACAAATCTTAAAAGTAAATACCACAAAAGAATATTATTGAAGAAATATAAAGTTATATTTTTCTATAGGGACAAATATCCAAAGTTTGAATAAGAATAAAAGAAACTAAAGCATAATTCAGGCTGGCTGGCTCAAATGATTTACATAATTATGGTAACAAATTTTAGCAATATCTGATTGCAACTATAGATTCTAAAATCTATTTAATTTTTTTAGTTATTTAGAATTAGCATAAATTTGTTTTTAAAGTATGCAATCTAAGAAATACTTAGATATCATATATATATAGAGGTGAGTCAATAGAAATGCACCAGATGTTTTCTAAGTAAATTTTTTGAAACTTTAAACAAAAATAACTCAACAACGACTTAACCAAATTTAATAAATTTTTTTTAAATTAATTCTAAAATCTTATAGTATTTATTTAAAAAAAATATGGTAGCTGAAGCTGAGATTTTGAAATATTTTAATATTAAATTTTAAAAATTTTTGGGTCTTTTTTGTTAGCTTTTTTTTTAGAGTTGGGTTAGTGTTTAGAGATAGTTTTATTAATAAAAGAGTATAAATGAATTTTAGTAGATATTATAGATTTAAATAGAGACCCTTCGATCTCAGTTTCAGCTGCCACAAAAAATTATTAAATTCAGATATATTCTTGTCATTTAATCTTTGTTTAAGGTTGCAAAACTATTTCACTAAAAAGATTTGGTGTGTTTCTATTGACTCACCCCTATATATTGTTTAATATTAATTATTTTAACTATGTCTTTAATTTCTTGCTTAAAGATGATTTATTGAATTTGAGATACGAATCTGTAAAAGAATTATCGAGCATCTTTAAAGTAAATTTTTATTTACTTTTATATTTTAATTTGCATATACTTCGATTTAGCAATAAAATTCTTGCTTAATTGTTGCAAGAACAAAGTTTTTGTACTCTTCCAAATCCGTGGAGCCTAAAAATTCTTATTTGAAAATATAATCTATACGCAAGCGACTTAAATAAATATCTAGAATTTTGAGATATTCATCAGCCTTTTTTAGCTCATTAAATTTTTTGAAAGTATCATCGATCATTAGAATATTTGTTTGTTTTTAATACGGAATAATAAAAACAGCTTATTTACCATTACGATCTATTAATAGTTTACATTTTCTATTACTATTTGATTTTTTAATTTTCCTCACGTTGTCATTTGAACTTGAATTATCTGATTGTGTCTTATATTTTGATTTCCTTGAACATCTCATGCAGTACCAGTTTCTGGCTGGTATTCTTGCAAGTGGTGGTTTTAAACACCTGGTGTGAAAGTCTTTACCACAATATTCATCACACAGGAGAATATGATCTCGATCTCTTTTCCATTTGCATACAGAACAACCACAAAGGTCACAAAATTCTTTTTTAGGTTCATAGCATTCTTCACATTCTGACTATCCTGGCGAATCATTATCACTACTGTCATCACCACTAATATTTTCTCTTAAGATTAAATTCTTTATTAATGTTAATAGTTTGTGTGGTTAAAAATTTACATTATTAGAATTAATAAATTTACATAAATATTAATTGAAGCATTTTTAAGGATAAGACTTAGATTAGTATAATAGTTAATTTCAGTTGATCTAAATTCTAAAATTAAATATTATTCAACTGAAAAAAATATTACTTACTTGATCTTTCTCAGTAATTTTGGATATCTTATTTATCTGTTTGTCTTCAGTTCGTTGAATCCTCTTTGGACTAATATTTTTCCCAATTCCTTTAGTAACTTTATAATCCGAATTTAATTTATCATTTTTATCGACTTATGAGAATGATTTATTATCTCGATTACCCTAGTTTTCATTTTACAGATTTTGAACTGTTAAATGA